TAATATGCCACGCTCAGCAAAGCTTGGATCAGGGCCCGGCTTTTATGATCTCATTTACTATTAGTTACCTCCTTATAGGCCCCATCTCCTAATACAATCACATTGGGGGTTAGAGCTTCAACATATGAATGGAGGGGGGCATGATTCAGTCCACAGCAATAGGTAATTGTATTGTGTATCATGCTTTTTATATAATAATTCAGTTCTGTTTCTCCTTTCCTTCTTCCTCTTATATCCAAACTCGTAAGGTTTCCTGCCGTGAGAGAGAGAGGACCTAACATCTTTATCCTCCCACTAGGAAGCTATTGACACTATTAGAAAAAAAATTCAACAAGCATAATTCTATACTCAATCAAAATAGGATCCTTTCAACTACCATAATTTTCTGGTGTCAATTAGGAAGGCTCAGAATGATGAACAGTTATTAAAACCCAGACACCAGGGAGCAAATCTGTAGTATTGTCGCATCCACCTACAGGTTCCCCCGGGATATCCGTTACCCACATTCAGGTCTCTGGGTTTCAGGAACGAAGATGCTGTTCGCATGATAGGGGTTTGCTTCAAAACTGGACACCTTTCTTCTATTTGCTCAATTTTTTTTTTTTTTTTGGTAACACATTCCTTTTTGTATACTAAACAAAGTAATTTGTTTTGACAGGATTTTATTCTTTAACAGTTAAGACAAGGTGCTATGAATAGAAAAATGAATATTTTACATAGGAAAATACATTCTGTTGCCTGATAGTTTGGCAACCAAATTTTTCTATTAAATTGCACCTCTAGGCTTTTTTTGTATAATGATGCTTGATTGCCTGGAGGGATTTCAAAGTTCTGATAAGCTTTTTGAATAATAAATTATGCTATTATTTTGTTATTGTTGTTAATCCTCATCTGAGGATATGTTTTCCATTGATTTTTAGAGAGAGTGGAAGGAAGGGAGGGGGAGAGAGAGAGAAAAAAAGAAACACTGATGTGAGAGAGACATCAATTTGTTGTCTTCCATACATGCCCTGACCAGGGCTGGAATCCAACCTGCAACCGAAGTATGGGCCCTTAACCTGGAATACAACCCGAGACCCTTAGGTTCACAAGCCGACGTTCTAACCACTGTGCACACTGCCAAGGGCAATTATGTTATATCTTGATATGAAAACATATGGATTGTGTTTTATTTAAGGTCCATAGAAACTGATATTCTGTCCGTGGATTGGCATTTTTTGTGTGTGCTAATATTCCAGATTGGTGTCCTTTATTTCAGAGAAATGATGACAGCCCTGGCTGGTTTTGTTCAGTGGTTAGAGCATCAACCCACAAACCAAAGTATTGTGGGATCGATTCCTGGCTAAAGCCATGTACCTGGATTGCAGGTATGATCCTTGGCCTTGGTCAGAGTCAGGCGGGAGGCAACCAATCAATGTGTCTCTCTCACATCGATGTTTCTCTCTTTCTCTCTCTTCCCCCCTCCCTCCCATCCACTCTATCTAAAAATTAACGGAAAAATATCCTCGGGTAAAGATTAAAAAAAAGAAATAATGACAAATTTCCATTGAAATCAATTAATAATTCTATTTCTATTGATATAACATTGCAAATTAAAATAATTAGTAGACATCAGATTTCCTTTTAGATAAAAGGCTGGTTAAAGAAATGCAAAGATGTGCTAAGAAATATCATTTCCCATCCTCACTACTCTTTTAAACAAATAAAGTACGGCTATGGTCTCTGTCACGCAGAAACATTACTTCAAATTCAACAACCATTAATCTTCTATGTCAGGTTCATTCTGAAAACATTGATTAAACACCAACAGTGCACAGGAATTGTAACTAAGAGATAGTCCCTGTGTAGAAGTCATGGTATAGCAAGAAAAGCATACATATAAAAATTAAACTTAATTTTAAGAGACACACATTTCACATGCTATTTTAATAGAGATAAACACTGGTAAAGTATATATGTCAAACTAGATTTAAAAAAGAAAGGTAAAATAATTTTCTAATCATTATGCTATATGGTACTGTATACACAAACACCATATACACACAGCCATATTCTCTACCATTTTCTGGGGTAATAAGGCAATTCAAATAACTGCTTGTTGGAATAGTAGTCAAGTGGAATAAGCCAGTCGGAGAAAGACAAATACCATACGATCTTACTTATATGTGGAATCTAACGAACAAAATAAACTGAAGAACAAGGTAGAACCAGAGGCATGGATACGTGGAACAGACTGACAGATGTCAGAGGGGCGCGGGGGTGGGGAGAATGAATGAACGAAGGTGAAGAGATTAGCCAAAGATTATATATGCACAGCCCATGGACAGGGACAACAGTATTGTGATGGCAGGGGAGTGTGGCTAGGTGGAGGTGGGCAAAGGGGTGGGAAAATAGGGGACACATGAAATAGTGTCAATGATAAAAATAAAGTAAAAAAACAACAACAACAAAAAGATTTTGCCCGGTCGGTGGGTGCGGTTCGATTCCAGGTCCGAGCACATGCCCGGGTTTCAGGCTCAATCCCCAGTAGGGATCATGCAGGAGGCAGCCGATTGATGTTTCTCTCTCACATTGATGTGTCTAGCTCTCTCTCTAAAACAATCAATAAACACATATTTTAAACAATAATAATAAAATAAAGCCCTGGCCAGTTTGGCTCAGCAGTTGGAGCATCGGCCTGCAGACCAGAAAGTCCCGGGTTCTGTTCCCGGAAGGGGCACGTACCAATAAATAAATAAATAAATAAATAAAATAAGAACAAAAAAATAAAGGTTTATGCAGCTACCAAAGGTTATACCAGAGAAAAACGAAAGGGCCCTTTAATGCAAAGCTTCTTTGATTCCATGATTCTAGGACACTAACAAAATGAACAGTGAGGGTGGCGGGGCAGCTTTAAATACACTCTAAAAGATTTCACAGAGTGAGATTAATCCTATTTCATATCCAGTATAGAAATCCACCAATAGTGTTCCTCAAACTACAAGCACATACGAATCACTTGGGAATCTCAACAAATTTGCAGATTTTGATTCAATAATTTAATAAATGATTGAGATTTTATATTCTCAACAGGTTCACTTTGATTTTCAAGGAATTTGCATACTTTCAAATCTTGGCTGGGAGAAAACAAACAAAGCAAACAAAGACATGTACCCAAATGACTAGGTATTCTAGGCCAGTGGTTCTCAAAGGATTGTTCACATACCAGCAAAGTCAACATCCCCATTAGAGATGCTCATTTCACTGTCTTCACATAGACCTACTGAGTGGGAAAGTCTGGGGGTTCTGCCCTGGAATCTATTTTAACAAGCTTGCAATGATTTTAACGGACAGTAATGTTGGGGAATAGCTAGTTTTTCTCAGCAATGCTTGGGAAGAAAGTTACTACTGCTGCTCAGACTGCAATTTATCTGGGCCTATGACTGTTTAATTCCATAAGCTACCAGCAGCATCACCTTACCCTGCACCACCAGACAACCTAGGGGGTCCTCGGATCTCACTCAGCACTGATTGCCATTCAGAAGGTCTGGGTGAATCTGGGAATCTACTATTTTAAATTTGTATAAGGGAAGGTTTTAAACTCATTAATCCAAAGATTACTTATATTTAAACAAGTGGGATGGATGACTATTAATGCCCAAACTATTGTGTGTGGGAAATAATATTTCAGTTCTTCCCCATAAATAGGACACATTTATAAGCATCTTTTAAATTTTAAACTGCAGATATCTTGTCAATCTGAAATATATATTCTGCAGATTAAACATATTGACTCCCCATCTGGCCGGTGTGGCTCAGTGGTTGAGTATCATTCCATGCACCAAGAGGTCGCCAGTTTGATTCCCAGTCAAGTCACATGCCCAGGTTGTGGGCCCAATCCCCAGTGGGGGGCATGCAGGAGGCGTCCAATAGATGTTCTCTCTCATCGATGTTTCTATCTCTCTCTCCCTCTCATATCCTCTTTCTGTGTAATCAATAAAGGAAAAAAAAAATAACATATTCATTCCCAAAAATATTTATCATGACATGTGGTCAATTTTATCTTCTCTTCTGAAGATGTTCTAGCAGTCTTTTTTAAATGGATAACTGAAGAAAACTCATATGATTTTTACTTGCTTCTCTCTGTCTTTGTGAAATTTACCAAAACACACAATGAAAAAATGGTATTTCTTTTTTTCTGCACAAACAAGTCTCAAAGAGATTGAACAAAGGGTTTTAGTCATAAATATTATGCCCTTTGTTCTGAACTAAGAATTTCCAACGTATTGATTCAAGTTTAGCAGCTTCTTCAGGATGGAGACTCAAATTGGACGTCTGGTCAACAAAAGTCTTAAAATGTCTTTTCTTAAATGAATGGTTTGTCAAAAATATTTTCCATACTCTTATGTTTTATTTTAACCATAGTTGCTAGATTTTATTCTTATGATATTAATATTACTATTTAATATCAAAATTTTAAAATTTTATAGTTATATAGAATTAACAAATACTTTCTAGTTTTCATTTTGTTTAACCCCTCTTTTATTTTTTATTCCTTATAAACAGACATTCTTATTATTTTCACCAGTGGCTGTGTTCCAATAAAACTTTATTTACAAACATAGGGGATGGTCTGAATTTGGCCCATGAATGGTTTAGCAAACCCTAATCTAAAAAGGATTTTGTTCATAGATATAAAAAAGAAAATGAAAATGTATATATTTAAATAACTTTTATGTAAACATTATATGCAACAATTTGTAAATCTTGAAATCCAAGGAACACCACAAATTTAAGAGAATGTGAAAATGATTTCCAAGGCATCACAGTTTAGTCACTTTTTACATTAGCTTTGTCAGTATATTTTATTGTTTCCCAGAGTATTTTGTTTGCTCAAAATAGAAGTAAATGAACAATAAAAGCAATGCCATAATAAAGAAAAATACAAGAAGACCCTTGTTGCAATATCGTCAGTATGCTACACTGAATGGTGAAGACAATGTTTCAAGAACAAAATGTACCTGGACAGGCAATCTGAGAAGGACAGGCGAACAGGGTATCCGTATCGGACGATCTTCACCATCTCCAGGACCCCGATGTATTGTAGCTGAGCAGACACATAAAAATTATCAAAGGTATCTGGCAGCTTTGAGTTATTGGGCTTGATGCAATGAATAAAGTGTGGAGTACACTTCTGAAGTTTCCCAATAATATCCGTTAGAGAGTTCTAAGGAGAGAAGTAAAAACATATTGATCCTCCAAAGAAGACACTGACTAAAACTATAAAGCATTTTTAAAATAAAAATCTTTATCTCCAATCATGACTTTTTAAATTGTTTTCACCCAGCATGTGTGTGTGTGTGTGTGTGTGTGTGTGTAGAGGCACGCACACACTTACTTTTCCTGCACTTACTCAGGTGGTCAAAAACGGGGTAAAATTCTATATCACCCCTCTACAGTTGATATAATCAATATTTAAGTTTGAGAAGCAGAAAACATCACTAACCCTGAGTTGCGATGCAATAGTTGCTGGACTTCCTCGCTCCAGTCTTTGAACAAATGTAGAAGTTCCTTTCTTTTTTAATAACTATAAAGAAAGCAAAAAGAAAAAAAGGGTGAGCAAATTTAGTTCACTAAATTCCATTTAGAAGGAAAAAAAAATTAACTCTCTCGTCAATATAAATTCTCTTACAGGCAGATATAGATTTAAACAGACTATAAAAATCAGTACCAAATAATTTTCTGTAATGCTACCATAAAGTTGGGGAAATGGGCGACTACATGTAAAATAACAACCATTACTGCCAGCCTGTCAAGTACATGGCTGTCAGCATTCCGCACTCACTTTAATTTGGAAGTAAATATAGATCCAGACTCACTTGGTGGTACAGTAAACTCACCCTGATATTTTTACTGGTTGTATTATTAACTGTCTGTGTTCATCATGAAATGTAGCTGACTCTAGGGCAAAAGAATACTGTGTTATGTTACAAAGACTTGATGTTTTAACAATCATTGGTTTGTTCCCTTAAGATTGACTATGATTAGATTCTTACCCATTTTTTTTTTCCTTATCCTTCCTTTTCTTCTTCTTTAAAAACTACTAAAAGGGCTTAGGAAATTACCCGACTCTGAAAAATGTCAACAAACTGTTTTCTTTGATAAGTAATTCTATACACCTCTTAAAAGAAAAAAAAAATCATGTGTAGCAAAGATTAAATGATAATGGAGATAAAAAGAAGTCAGTTAAAATGAAGCCAGTGGAAATAAAGGGCAGAAGATAATTAATTAAATTATATCATAGGGTAAAAGGAATCTTAGCCACTAATGTACCTTTACATTTCACAGAATCACACAGATTTAGGCCAACATATCTAGTGATCCAAAATCATTTGTCTTAAAATAGAAATATCTTTATAAAAGAAAAAAAAATTGATAAAACACTCTTGTCAATTTGGTGCGATTGCTACCATGGCAATAGCTCTTTTCCTTCCATTAAAATGAACTGTCAAGCAGAGTGATTGATTGTAACTGACAAGGGACTGTAAAAAGAAGCGACTGGTCCAGGATCAACCTTTTCACAAACACAAAGCCAAGTCCATTGCTCAGTTAAAAGTGGGTCGACTCCTACCCTGCCGGTCACAGGGGTGGATGTGCAGGAATGAGGGCAGCTTGAACAGAAGTGAGAAATGGAACACTTAAGAAATAATCATAATAAATAAATCTCCATCCCTTGAAATTGAACACTCAATTTCCCTTTCTGGGTAGAGGAACTCCTGTGAATTATCTCTCTTCTGCAGTCCTTTAGGGAAAAGACTAATGGCATCTATGCCTGGTAATGTTTAATAATTAAGGTTAAAAATTACAGTTTAGAGGTGTGTAGTGATTTCTTGCTCTCGATTTCCAGGATGATTGAGAAAGGAAGGGCCAGACGGTTCAGCGAAACCCTCAGGGACAGAGATCTTCCTTGCAAAGGGTAACCCTTTGTCTTTTTTATGTAAAAGATGCCATTTCATATTCAGTGAGATTGAATTCCTGTGGTCTTATATTGTTGCAACACATGTATCAAAGGATCCCTAAGTCTCTGTCCTCGGAACTAAACACACACGTGCACGCACACACACAGACTTATTCTTAATATGTCATACACATTCCTGCCACTCTTCTAAAATAGAGCTGATTTTAATTATGCTTTCATTTTAATTGGTAAGTTAAAATGCATTCTTGCAAGCTACAACTGAGTATCTAAAAATGATAGTGCTGGACACCTTCCCAATCATATTTCTCATCTTTTATGATTTTGGTAGAGGCAAGCAAAACAAACGGGGCTACACTGAATTTTAAACTTAAAACATTTCAGTTGGAGGAAACTCTTTACTGAATTTTAGTTCTGTTTCACAAATAGAACCATTAGGTTGTAAGTACAACCACACTTGTGTGGGACAAATGCATATTAAAAAAAAAAAGCATAATAGAAAATAAGTTAAAAGTCTACAAAACAAGCAGTGAAAACATTCTAGCACCTGCAAAATATACTGTCTGTAAGAAACTACAATTGTTAAGAGACCTAAAACCTCCAAAGTAATTAATGTCAACAGAATAAGGTCGCTAAGTTAATCCCCCCTTAGCCCACTATCCCTGAAGTCACTTCCTACTCATCACAAAGATAGTCAGGGATGAAACATAAATAGGACGTTGCACAGACAGCTTATACATTTACTAATACTATATTTGCTACTGAATTTTCACTGTAAAGTACCTTTCTACACTGTTTCCTCTTTCTCATGGTTATACTTAAGGTAGGCATTCTTTCCTTTAATTTTTAAAAATTAAATTATCAATTTCTTTCCATTGGCATTCATAATTGCGCTTTAAGACAAAAAAGAAGCAAATGTTCTAAGCAAACTTAAAAACAAACCAATAAGAATCACAAAAATTCCTACCTTACTAAGCTCTAGATAATTCCTGTTTTCTCCGATAATTGAAGAAGCTGTCATTTTCTTATTGAGCAGGGCAGATTTATGTCCTCTGAATTTAAAAGAAGGGTAGGAAGATAGAAGGGATCCTGTTTGTGACAGTTTCGACTGGAACAAATGATTGATCACGACATTTTCACTAGCTAGGAAATAAATAAATAAATATTGTAAGGTGATATTACAATTGCTATTTACATTAAACTCACTCCCCATCCAAGTCCTTCAACCCCTAAAACATTCAGAGTGGAAGAGAAAATTGAAGAGTCCATTTTCCCCTTTGCCTCTATATTTTATTTTCCCCACTATTAATTATACCATTGGGTGAATTTTGACCATCCTCGCCCTTGGCCCATCCCATGTTTCCCAATCTTCCCCTGGAGCACTTGACCCTTCTCTCTCTCTGTCACTTACTTCTCTCCTAGCTGTCTGAACAGAATCTGACCTGATCAATCCTAAGGGGCTTCAGTGCACTTGCCCAAGTCATGAAGACATAAATTCTGTCAGCAAGTCCCATTCCAGGAAAATAACCACCCAGACACATGTTTCTCAAGGATCTAAGCTGCCTCAGAGCTGCATGTTAACACCTATGGGGCTATTCTGTAACTACCACTCTGTACTCCTCAGTCCCTTCACCTTTTCCACCCAGTCCTCTAAACCCCTTCCCTCTGGCAACCATCAATCTGTTCTCTGTGTCTATGAGTCTGCTTTGATTTGGTTTGTTCATTTATTTTGTTCTTTATATTCACATATAAATAGGGAATATGGTCAATGAAATTGTAATAACTATGTATGGCGTCAAGAGGGTACTGGAAGTAACAGAGACAACACTTTGTAAATTATCTGATTATCTAACCACTATGCTGTACACTCGAAAGCAATAGAAAATAATATTAAACATAAACTATAGTTGAAAAAAAATCCTATTGGAGACCTTATCCCGTTTGGCTATATCCATTTTAGGTAACAGAAGTGCCTTTTTTCCTGATTCTGTTAAGCTACAAAGATAAAAAGCAAGCTGATATATATTAGATTGTTTTGTTATACAAATTCTAATAATTCTTGGCCCACATTCTTTTCTCAGAAAGAAACTGGAGCAATGATGAATGGATTTTTGGTTATGAATGTAAAGAGCATAATGAAAACCATGTATGGTGTTTAAAGATCTAGAAGGCATGTTTCTTGTGTTACCTATGTTTGTATATAGATAGGTTTTTAAGCTTTAGCTTCCTTTTCTTTAAAATGACCATGACAATACCTACTTTGAGGATTACTAGAAGATTAAAATGTGAAATAATGTGTATACATTATTTAGGGTCATGCTCAGCCCATCAGACAGTTAGCAATGTTTAGTAGCAAAGCAGTTTAACTTTTCTCTACACATATCATTTTGCTTATCCACCCTAATTTATTTATTAGCAATGCACTCAATGCAAAGTCCCTATATAAATAAACAAGAAACTAGGGAGAACTGTCAGAGAAGGAAGGCGTGATTATGGAATGCAAGAAGACAAAAAGAAGGCCTCTGGTGTTGTATTGAATTTAGAGGTATCAGCCTAAGGTCACACTTTTTAATATATAGCTACATACATATCTCTATATTTTCTATATCTATAAGTCTGTAGTTCGAAAAGGGCCCAAAAGCCACAACAACACAGTAGAAATGAGCTCGCCAAGCCCCCAGACTTTCATGTTTAATAATATTATTCCACTCCAAAATAAATCAAGGCTTCTTAGACACATGACTGATTCTAGATCTGAGGCAAGGGAGATAATCCCAGAACATCTTTGAAGGCCAAAATGAGAGGAAGTGCTAGAAAAGATTATGAGAACCTGTCAAAAGGACAGAGCTAGCTTTTAGCTGGTCACATCTTGGCAATTTCAGCATCAAAATAATGATAGTAATGGATTATGATTCATTGAATAAAGTGTCAAGAAATAACTAGACTTTTGGCAGTGACCACAAAACAGAGTATACAAATACAAAATGATAATATTATGCACCTGAAATTTATATAATGCTATCAACCAATATTATTACATCAATAAATTTTTTAAAAGAGACTAGTAAAAATACAAAAATAATTTATGAGTCCATACTGATAATTAATTAACCAGAAAGGGGAGTTATGATAAAAATCACTGTTGATGAAAAAAATGGGTTAGAAAATCACAATCTTGCAACCATAGAGAAATCATTGATTTAGTTAGATAAGAACAATTCAACTATGCAAAACTAACAGGTAAAAGTTTGATGAGGATGAGAACATTTACATTGTCTCAAAGTACTTCCTTACAAATTACTTATCAAAGAAAAAACAGTGATTTTCGATTAAAAGAACCCTGAAGGATGCTACTTTACAAAAGTGACCAAGGTTACCTGGTACAGTTTATAGGGACTCACGATTAGACATTATTGTTATTGTATCAATGTTACATATTCTGATAATTTACTGATGTTATGTAAGACAATGTCCTGATCTTAAGGTGTATACCAAAGTGTTTAGGCATAAAGATGCATGTGACTTATTCTCAAAATGTTCAAAATATATGTACATACACACAAGGGGAATAAAGAAGAAAGGAAGGGAGGGAGGGAGAGAGGGAGGGAGGGAGGGAGGGAGAGAGGGAGGGAGGGAGGGAGGGAGGGAGGAAAAAAAGAATGGTAGGGAGATAAAAAGAGTAACAGAAAGAAAATAAAAAAATATACCTGAGATAAGGACATATGGGAGTTCTTTGTACTAATTTTGTAACTTTCTTTAAGTTTAAAATGATTTCAAAATAAAGTTAAACAATAAATATATAATATGGTGCATTTAAAGTAAATAAAATTATTTATGTTTATTGCAAGTCTATGTATGGATGAAACCACATAAATAGTGCAACATGTTGAAACATTATACAGATTCATAAAATACTATAACAACCATGCATCTTTTGTTCATATGATAGAAAGGGTATGCAACTATAGTCCGTGGGCCAAATCTGGTCCACTTCCTGTTTTGGTCAATAAAGGTTTATTGAAACGCAGCCATGTCCATCTGTATCATCTACTATTGCTTTCTCCTTATAACAGCAGAGTTCAGTATCTGCATTAGAGACCTTATGACTTGCAAAGCCTAAAGTACTTATTTTCTGGCCTTTTAAAGAAAATGATGCCACGTTCTGCATAAACACCTAAGGACACTCTGTAAATTCTGTCTTCTTCCTCCATGTGTCTACGGCTTAGTGTTTAGAATAAAACAAGATTCACTCATTTTCTCTTGGAACTTATTAGGAAGTTTACACAAAAGAATGACTTTAAAACACTGAAGAATGACTTTAAGAAGAATTGCAATATCACTAGCCATCATATTATCATTCTAAATATATATTCTATTACCATGAAGAACAAAAATAAAGAAAACATCATTGCAACAACTGGAAAGATGTTGTATGTTAGATCTTTATAAAATGTATGGGTCAAATGCAAGTATATTATGAATGAAAGTTCAAATAATTGAAAACTAGAAAATATTTTGAATGATAATCAATAGGGTCAATTATTTCAATTTTCTTCTCTATACAATATTATTATAAATCCATATTTTTATCAGTAGTCTCAGCCTTTAAGAGAACTCACAAAAAAACCTAAGTTCTAAGAGGCAAGCAGAGTAATTCCGCATGAAAAACAATATATTGTAACTGTGCTGTTTGGTTTAAGGTAAATGTGTTCCTCAAACCAGAAGTGATAAGAATGTCTTATTTCTAGCTCAAAGGCATCCAGCTGTTTCATGAAAGCCTATCATCTGCTTCTTTCCCTAGGAAACATAAATGACTATCACATTTAGAGCAACTTAAAGCACAAAACATAACACATTTTAATTCATTGAAAAGGTTATTAGCAAAATGTGAATCACGACAGAATTACTATTAAGAAAATAATTACTAGAGCAGATAGAAATATATATTGACAGCCCTGGCCATTTTTCTCAGTGGTTAGAGCGTCGGCCTGTGGGCAGAAGGGTCTCGGGTTTAATTTCAGTCAAGGGAATGTACCTGGAATGCAGGTTTGATCCCTGGCCCCAGTTGGGCTTGTGGGGGAGGCAACCAATCAATGTGTCTCTCTCACATTGATTTCTCTCTCTCCCCCTCCCTTCCACTCTATCTAAAAATCAATGGAAAAATATCCTCAGGTGAGAAGGAAAAAAAATGTGTATATATCTATATCTACACACACACACATATACACACACACACGTATACATATATTTAATTATACTATATATATGTAATATATAGTTTTATATATAGCCTAGAATTATAAGTATATATGTATAAAGTACTGAGGTTTACAAACTAAATGGAACCTATAAATTTATATTGATATATACATATATGCATGTGTATGTGTACATATATAAATGTGTGGGCTCATTCTACTTTGTGAACATTTGTTCTTTACATGAAATACATAAGAATAAACTACCTCTTAGGTGTGTTTCAGAACCATCTTAAGTAATGGAATTCACCCTGCTGTTGCCTAAATAACTTTGGAAGCTATATTCATCTTCATTAGTCTTCACAGAAGAGCTTTTTTATATTCATAACACTAGAGTGTTAAAGGTGCTTTATATTTCTATCTGCTAAAAGCTTGTTAAATTATGGTTTCTACTAGATTCCAAATTAAATTGTAACCAATGTATAGTGTGAAAAGATTCATTCTTTATTATTCTGGGCATTAGAAGGTAAAAGAATTTCAATTATACTTCAGCTGCTGGTATATTTTATAGGACACTGTTAGAGAACTAAGAAATGTGTGGTATTTTAACCATAGGAGGGGAAGACTTACTTTTCATTACAAATAGAAGATTCTGTGAAAGAGAGTCCTTATTTTTTTCAATTGCTCCAAAAATTTCATACATTACCTAGGATAAAAGGAAATAGCATAATTATTAATGATGAACATGACCATGAGAATAATTCCCTTTAAAGAATAACTTGACTCAGGGGATGTTTTAAATTATTCATAAAATACGCGTCTTCAGGACTTGAAGTTCACGTTACCTGCAGGTTCAAAGCGCTCGTCTATGTGCTGTTATTTTGCACGTTAAACAAAGGACACCTCTCCTATTCCAATTTGCAAAGCCCTCCTCTGATCATTAGTTTAAGAGAAAACGGTGGTGACTCACATTCATGTGGTCCCCTTTATTCTTAAGGACTGTAACCTGCACAGAAAACTCACTAACCGAAGTAGAGAGACTCTGTGACACCTCGAAAAGGAAGTGTGATTTCAGTTTGATAAATTCATCAATCTCTTTACTAAAAGGATCTTTTTGGATCATTTTAATCATTTATCTGAAGTCTTTAAAATGAAGAAAACATGTGAAACAATAAATTCTGGATTATTCAAGGACAGGTGACTCATGAATACACTTCAATGACTTCATTGTCTGCCTTTATTGGTATTCCAGTCTGGCCTGGGAGACTTGGTCTCTGAAGAGAGACATAGTTTTATAGACTCTTCCAATCTCAGCTAAGTGAGACTCCAATGTGGTCTTGAAAAGTCAGATCAGCCATAAGGCTTATCAGTTTCTACAGCGGCTTCTGCTTCTTGTGGAAACAGACTGAGGCATGCCACCATGATCAGGTGTCATAGGCTGTTCTTTGCCCTGGGTGGGTCAGGACTAAACCAAGAGAAGCAGTTGCCCAATGAATGGCACTTCTTCATGTTGCATCGCCCATGTGACAGCATGGTTGGGTAGATCAAAAAAAGGCTATAATCACCCCACTCCTTTGGGAATTTTAACTAGACAGCCCTGGGAGAACTGTTTCATTGAAAGCAAGAGGGGACTAAACAGAAGAAAAAGAATCCATGAGAAAGAGGCTGTGTATCTAGTGAGAGGAACATAGAAAAAGGCCCAATAACCCCTAAAGAGTTTTGCTTCCTAAATGGCTTTCACATTCTAGCCCATGACCATGCCATCCTTACAATAAAGCCTTACTGAGTTTTTATTCTTTGTTTTCACAAAAGCCTAAATGTCAGACATATCCCAAGATACCCTGAAGTTTCTCAAATTTTTCCATATGACTTTGCAGTGCGCAGAGTGGCAGTGGGAGAGGAGTCAGGACACCTGCTAAGCCACACTGAACCTCTGTGGGCTTGACAAGTCATCGAATGTCCCAGAGCTGGTGCCGTAGTGAAGAGCTATGATTCTCATCTATTCTAACCAATTTTTCATTGGGAATCTGATGATTCTGAATTAAACACACACACATGCAAACACACACACACGCATATGCAAATGCACACACACACATATAATCGGACTACCTGATTTTCCCTAAATAACATTCCTTATTTGCCTTGGCTCCTGTTACGGCCTTGCTTTGTGATGGACATTCCTAACTCCTGCAGTAAAATTCTGACTGTACCTTGAGGGCAGGAACAGTGGTGTGTTCGGCTCTGTCTCCCCAAAGTGTCAAACCAAATGACTTGTTAACTGGACACATTCAGTAAATATTTGGTGACATTAACAAAAAGGGTTATGTTGTGATCAAATATAGCATAACATTGTACTGTTCTTTTAAATTTAAGATTATGCTGACGAGTCTTTCATTATCACAAGATCATGTGCTTTGGAAAGTTCTCATAAATGGCACCTTTACTTGGATATTTATTTTTTTTTAAAAAGGCAGAAGGTCTACATTAAAACTACAGTTCAGAACTTCCCAGTTGGAAATTTCAACTGGCCAAGTTACATAGAAAAAGAAATTTAACACACACATACAGTACAAGCATTCAGCGAGGGCAGTTTGATGTTTGTAGGAAGCATAGAATTTAGCAAAATATTTTATTTTGTATGAAGTTAATAAATCTTGAAGCAAATCAACTCAATTATTTTTGTGATAACAAACTACCTTAACTCTTTGAGTCTTTCTTCATGTGTTAAATGATATTCTGCAAGGACCTTCCAAATTTAAGAGCTTTCTGACCCTATTTAAGTTATGGATGACATCAGTACTGACAGAATTTGAGTTGAAAGATCAACACAATTATTAGACAGTACCCAAAACAGCCTAGTTAATTTACCATAATTCATATAATAATGCAAATGATAGAGAATGTGTCACATAATTGGTATTAGTGGAATAATGTTTTCTTTTTCCCTCATCCCAAATCTTGAGTCAAGTATTTCCTTAAGGAGCCCTCCCATATTTTAGTAAAAAAATGAAATTAGAGACTGCCATCTGGACCCCTAAGGGTGCAAAACAGCACACAATACTATTGGGTTAGTCAATGTTTCTAGGAGTTTTCAGTGGCTGGATCTGAGAAATACATGCACACAACACCCACATAGGTGAGGAGTTGTTTTTGTTGTTCTTTTTTTTTTTTTTTCTTTTTAATTTTAAAGATAAAATACAATCTGATTCCAAATTTGGTCTTTTAGCTATAATAATTTCTTCAGTCCAAGTTTTCACATTGGCTTTGTTAAAGGCAACTTGAAAATCTAAGTAAACAATATCTACTCATGCCCATTTGTTATGTTACATATATAACCTGCCCTTATAAACTTTAGTTTTAATTAAAGTTTTAATTTTGAGATAACTGCAGATGCACACCAAGTTGTAAGAAATAAGACAGACAGATCCTGTGAGCCCTTTCCTACAAAACCATCACAACCAGAACACTGACATCAATGCGGTGAATATTCAGGACATTCACATCATCGCACAGATCACCCATGTTGCCAATTCATGGGCACAGTCACCTCCCTGAAATCAGTCGAACACATTGGTATGAATCTATTTCTCTGCTCTTTAATCTGTTCCATTGATCTATGTGTCTACTCTTTTACCTCTGTTTTGATTATCAAAGTTTTATAAAAGCTTTTTAATTTTTTAAATTAAGTAGACTAACTCCTCCCACATTATTCTCCTTTTGAAAAATTGTTTTAACTATTCTTTCCTCACCTTGCCATATAAGTTGTAGAATAATATTGACTATATCTCCATATGAAAACAAAATTTCACATAATTTTAATAGGAATTGCATTAAACTTGTATAGCAGTTTGGGGGAGAACGATTACTATATTATTACTAAATTGAGTATTTATGTGTTGTCTTCCAATCCATGAACATGAAATGTATCTTTTTTATTTAGATCCTTTATACAGATCTTCTACATGTTTTGTTAGATTTATACCTATTTGCATTTTTATGAGCAATCATCAATGTTATATTTTTAATTTACTGTTCATTACTAGTATATACAATAAAATTGATGGCTTTATGTTTATATTATATCTTATGACCTTGATGAACTAATTTATTAGTTTCAGGCAAGACTTTTTTTTTGGTAGATTTCTTGGAATTTTTCATATAGACAATTATGTTATATACAAATACAGATTTCTTTCTTTTTTCCAATGTCTTTTATTTCGTTTCTTGCCTTATAGCACTATGCCTTCCAGCACTATGTTTAATAACAGTAGCGAGAGCAGACGTTCTTGGTCTTATCTCCGATTTTATGAGCAAAACATTGTCTTTCACCATTGAATATCATGGCAACTGTAGGATTTTTGTAGATACTCTTTATCAAATTGAGAGGGTCCCCTCTATTTTATTTTTTCCCACATCAATTGACATAATTATGTGATTTTTTTTTTCTTCATTAGCCTGCTTTGCATCCCCAGGAAAAAAATTAATTATTCATGGTGAATGATTCTTCTTACATATTGTTGAATTATATTTGCTAATATTTAAAAGCATTTTGCATCTGTATCATAATGGATAGCAATCTTTGATTTTCTTATTTTGTGTGTGTGTTGTCTTTGTCTGGTTTAAAGGAGCTTCATAAAATGAATTGGAAAAAGTTCTCCTATTTTTCTAGAAGAGATTAGTATTTGGGGACATCGCCAATAAAACCATAGAGACTAGAGCTTTCCTTTTGGGTTGAGTTAAATTACAAAAATCCATTTCCTTATGGTTATAGGGCTATTCAAATTTTGTAGTTCATATTGGGTAAACTGAGGTAGTTTGTGTTTTTGAGAAATAGGTCCATTTCATCTAAATTGTCACATTCACATATAACAGCTGGTTGTCATTCCCTTTCGATCTTTTTGATGTCTGCGGGGTCTGTGGTCTGTGGTGATATTTCCTCTTTTATTCCTGATATTAGCAACTTGTATCTTTTCTCTTTGTCTTTCTTGTTAGAGGTTTGTCATTTTTTATTGTTATCTTAAAAGAACCAGATCTTTGTTTCATTGATTTTTTAAAATTATTTTTTGAAATTCTATTGATCTCTACTCTTTGTGATGGCCTTCTGTTTGCTTGCTGTCAGTTTATTTGGGCCTCCTTTTTCTAGGTTCTTAAGGTGGAAGCTTAGATTATGATTTGAGACTTTCCTCTTCTCTAATATATACACTTAGTGCTATAAGTTTTCCTCTCATCCTGTTTTAGCCATGTTTCACAAATTTGATTCTTGTATTTTCATTTTCATTCAGTTCAACACATTTTTTAAAATTTCCTTGAGACTTCTTTATTAGACCCATGGATTATACAGAAGGGAGATCCATGGATTATACAGAAGGGTAATGCTTAGTCTCCAAGTATTTGTTGATGTTCTTGTTATCTTTCTGTTATTGATTTCTAGTTTGATTGCACTGTGGTAGGTAAACTTACTCTGTATAATTTTGATACCTCTGAGTGTAATTCATTTTGATTTATGGTCCAGTATATGGTCTTTTTTGATACATGTTCTGTGGGTACTTGAAAAGAATGCATGTTCTGTTTTTGTTGGTTTAAGTGTTCTATAACCAGCCACTGTGTTGGTTGACATGTTGTTGAATTCTTCCTTATTCCTGCTGCTTTCCTAGGAAGATATCGATGACTTGTCCAGAGGAAGGTGCTGAAGTTTCCCACTTA